GCCACCTCCATAGCGCCCGCGCTGGGGCCCGAGCTGACACTAGAGCGCCCTGGCTGGGCCCGAGCTGCCACTAGAGCTTTCGCAATGGTCACGACCGCGACAACATTGCAACGACAACAGTGCAAAAGCAACGGGGCAACGCAATGCAATCACATGGCGGCGCTTAGTTTTCCAACCAGGGGGTTAACGCCATCGCCCGCCTCTCCGCCCCCCCTGCAGGTAGAGGAAAAGGTGGCGGAGGAGGAGGAGGAGGAGAAGGAGGAGGAGAGGGAGAAGAACGAAGCGGAGCGAAACAGGAGGGGGAGGAGGAGGAGGAGGAGGAGGAGGAGGAAGGGAGAAAAAAAAAAAAAATGGAGGAAGTGGGTGCAGGGAGGGAGGAGTATTTTGGCGGCTAGCGCAGTGCTTTGCATTAGGCTGGTCGGCGTCGGATTCTTCTTCCTTGCTCCTTCTTCCTGTTCTCCGTCTTCGGGCGCGGGTCGGTAAGCCAAAACAAAAGACCGTTCCGCAGAACGCCCCACGACGAAGCGAACCAGGTCCCTGGGACGATTGAACGCTGTCTGCGTGACTCGGGCTCGGTCAATGGACCGTTCCTCCACGAGTGCCACGTGGTTACTGTCGAAGCCCAGTCCGTCTTAATTCACTGAGGCTCGTCCTAATCACTGGCCCTCGCAACTGCTACCCCCCTATGGCCTCTTCCAACCATGCATGTTCAGAGGAGCTGGCGACGGGTAGGGGTGAGGGGCAGAGGGGTTTGGATAAGGGCATGGGGGCGAGACAAAGGGAAGTCGCCGTTGGCTAAGCGGGGGATTAAAGCGAAGCGATGGCGATCTGCGGCCCCATGCTGCGCCCCCGCTCGGTCAAGTGCGCCGCCCCCCTGTCTCGTCCTCAGCAAATGCCCCATCTGGCGTCGCACCAGGGGGGGCTAGCCACCGAACAACGCGTATGAAGTACCCCCCTGGGCTCCAGAGGCAATGACTGAGTGCGCCGCCACATTCAACGTCAGGATGTCTGCTCTTACGGAGTGTAACCAGGCCCTGGCCCAACGACAGGGACGGCTCGCGATGCTGGGAGCGCAGAGGCGGTTCCTCTCCTCATCCTCCTCCTCCTCCTCATCCCCTTCCTCCTTCTCCTCCTCCTCCTCCTCTTCCTGCTCCTCCTCCTCATCCTCTTCCTCCTCCTATTCCTCCTCCGCCTCTTCCGTCACCTCATCCCCCCCCCTTGGCGGCCCTGGATGCATCCTGGAGACCCCCTTATTCATCATCCATTCCCCCCTGCAGGTAGAGGAAAGGGTGGCTGAGGACAAGGAGAAGGAGTAAGAGGAGGAGAAGGAGGAGGAGGAGGAGGAGGATGAGGATAGACACATGATGGGGAGGAGGAGGAGTAGGAGGAGGAGGAGTAGGAAAGGGAGGGGGAGGAGGAGTAGGAGGAGGAGGAGGAGGAGGAGGAGGGGGGGATTTATGAGCAGCGCCGAGAGCCCCGACGACAGGGACGGCTAGAGACGCTGGAAGCGCAGGAGGCGGGCCCCTCTCCTCCTCCTCCTCCTCCTCCTCCTCCTCCTCCTCCTCCTCTCCTCTCCTCCTCCTCCTCCTCCTCCTCCTCCTCCTCCGCTTCCTCCTCCTCCTCCTGCTCCTCCTCCTCGTCCCTCCTCCTCCTACCCCTCCTTCTCCTCATCTAGCCTGCAAGCTCATCATGCGGTATGCCTGATATTCGTTTCACTCTTGTGCTCTCGCTTCGGCGACGATGCGACGGAGCTGTAACAGATCGCACTGCCCTGCACCCCGAGCTGCGAGCGATACCTAGTGCATATCGCATACACGACTGTTGCAACGCGTCGCTGGCGCGATCAGATGATCGCTGGAGCTGCTATCCCAAGACCTTGGATCCAACCTCCGTCTTATCGTGATCCCAACCCCGATGACGAAGCAGCGGGCTAAAGTGCTCGGCGGCAGAGGGCACCGCAGCACACGCACACATTAACTAAAAACGTCATGGCGAGAGCACGCCTACACGAAACCAACAAAAGAAAAGCCTGGCGCAAGAGATGGATCACCCACGACTTGCCTCGCGACATCGGTGCAGGCATGCAGCTGCAAAGAAACTAACACTGAAACGGCATCTGACTGGGGACGGAAGCAGCTCGAGAGACATCTACGCCCCTCCGACGGGCATCGACACGGTGTCGGCGGCCTTTGCTTGAGCTGCCTCCTCCCTCTGCACCAACATCCTGCGGTGCATCTCCTTCAGCTTGGTCTTGGCCACCGAGATCTTGGCGGTCAGCACGCCGAGCTTGAACTCAGGCGTCTGCTCCCGCCCCTCCGCCAAGACAACATCGATGTCGCTGACGACAACGTTGGCCTCGGTAACTGCGGCCGCACACCCCGTCGCGACGTATTTCGGGATGTACTCCAACTCATTCTCCTCATCGGCTTTCTTGATGCACTCGGAGAGGGTGGCCAGCAGCTTGGTGACAACGTCCTTGGACTTCTGCAGCGTCCCCTTCTGCTGCTCCGTCAAAGGCTTCTGCGACTTGGTCGCCTTCGGCCTCCTCCCTCCGCGGCCATCCACGTCGGCGCCATCGGCAGGGCCGCCGTCGTCCTTGAGCTCCCTGCCGATCTTCTGCTTCTTGAGCGACTGCTCGGTGGCCAGCTCCATCGAGCGAACCTTCTCCTTCGATTCTCCCTGCCTGCGGACCCTGGTGTAGTCGATGTCTTCAAACATCGTGCGCTTGGCCACCTGGCACACGAAACGGTCCGCGTTGTCGATGATCGACTGGGCAACATCCGGCTTGCGCTTGTACTTCTCCCTGATGTCGGCCTCGTCAAAATACGTGCCACTCCCAGCCCGTTCCTCACTCTCGTGTGTCCGCTGAGTCTCGCAGACCTTAGTCTGCAGCGCCGACAGGAGGCCCTCGGGGTGATCACGATGTTCGTTGATCCACTCGTTGCGCTTCTCCACGGGCATCCGCTGCCACTCTGCTTTCAGGATGGGCTCATCGCGGAACCATCTGTCCCTCTTGCCCCTGAACGCGTTGCAGTCGGTGCAGCGCCACTTCTGCTCGCCACCCTTGGTCTTGTGCGACGCCGTGCCGCGGTCCTGACGAGAGACACAACAACTCCTCCTCCTCTTAATCATCCTTAGCCTCCTCCTGTTCCTCCCCCTCGCTCTCCACACCCTCCTTCCTCCTTATCCTCCTCCTCATTCTCCTTCTCTTTCTCCTTATTATCGCCCTCTTTCTGTTCATTTCTTCCTCCTCCTCCTCCTCCTCCTGACTCTTGCCTTCTTCTCCTCCTGACGTTTGCCTTCTCCTGTGCCTCCACCCCCTCCCCCCTCCTTCTCATCCTCCCCCTGCGCCTCCCCTCCTCCCCTGCTCCCCCCTTCCTCCTCCCATGCCCCTCCAGGGAGGGGGGCAAGGGTCGGGTGAGTCGGTGCCGATTCGATGAGATGTCCTTCGCGCAGCCGCACTCGATGCACGTGAACTTGTGCACGGCGGCTGCAGGGGCAGCAGGGGCAGCAGCGGCCGCAGGCGCCAGCGCCGCGGGGGCGCCCACGGGAGCTGCAGCGCCGCCAGAGGCGGCAAGGCCCTTGCCCGCGGATGCGGACATCCTCGAGACGAGGAAACAGTCGGTCGCAACTGTCGCAGGGCCAACTGCGCCAAAATGGCTGCGGGGAGGTCCGAAGGCGGGGCCCAACTCTCCACGACGAGCTGTCGCTCGGGCCCAACTCTCCACAACGAGCCTGATATTGCAAGGAGTATCGAGCGGGAGGTGAGCGAATTGCAAGGAAGTCTTAAACGGGAGCCACGCGACGCTGCGCCAACCAACAAAGTCAGCAACAACGACTATGTTAATTCATGTTAATTTTCCATAAACATTCCTAATTTCCCATAACTGATGCATAACTCATTTTACTAATTCTGGCTAATTCAGCATCTTGGGTTTAACTTGGATTATACAATCTAGTTATATGATTGTTATAACTTTTAGAAACACTTATAAAAACCTTGTCTTTTAGACAGGATTATAAAGCTGCTAAACCTGTTATACCTACGTTGCGGCGTAGTTCTAACACGTTTGCGGCGCACTTACAACCAGTTTATAAAACCGAGGACGCCCAAAATATACAAAGTGGCGTCGGCCGTCGGCTTCGCGCCCCCGTTCCAGCCTGACCAGGGTGTGGTTTCCTATCCTGCTGCCCGCGCGCCCTGACCCGATGACATAGTCTCACTGGCTATCGTCTGGGTCAGGCTGCGCAGCGCCTCGGCGCCCAGGCCTGCCTCCAGCTGCCCGGCGGCGCCCCGGCCTGCAGAGCCGGCGCCGCTTCGCTGGAAGCGATAGCCTCGGCGTTCGTCTCCTTCTTGCCCTGCTGACCCTCGTCGTTCTCAGCGGAGATCTCGTGGATCCCTTCAATGCTCAGCCGCTAGAGCGGAGCCTGGCCGAGGTTCGCAAGCGCTGGCGGGTTGCCCTGCTCAGAGCCGCCGCTGCCAGGCGCCCATGGCCTCTTGGCAGGACCCCGCCCCCCTACCAAGTTTGGCAGCAGAAGGATAGGATATGTTTTAGAATTGAGCCATAAGAGGGCAATCACCATACACAATGACCACAATCCTTGGGCTGAACCTCGAGTTGAAATACACGAGAATTGGCATAACTAGCATCACAATGCAGATACATCGGAATTCATCGGGTGGAAGGGGAGGGGAGGCCCTCCCCTCCCTGGAGGGGACGAGGGTGACTGGGGATAGGGAAAGACCAGGCCAAGGACGATCAGGACGACAGAACAAAGATGATGAGATGAGGGAGCCAGGCGACGGGACGAGACTGGTGAGTTAGAGTAGGGGATCGACTACAGCATTGATTGACCCCAAAATTGGTTTTCTCGTCGAGTCTACGTAGATCTACGTAGCAAACTTCGCATGTTTCGTAGATTCGACTGGGAATGTATCTGCGGGGCAAATCAATGAAGTAGTCGATCCCCCACTCGGTGAGTGAGGGGGCCGCAGTGGCCTCCGCCGCTGCTGTGGGCTCCGCCCCAGGAGTCCCAGCCCGGCTCTGCAGCTGGCTCCTCCGGCGGGGGGGGAGGGCCGAGAAGCGAGCTGCTTGCATGTGTGACTGACGCTGCCGAGTGGACCTTCGGGCTGTCGCACGGATACCGAAAGTACCCCCACGAGTCCGAGAGCCGGAACTAGGCCCCGCCGCTGGCCCTCGCCTTCGCTCTGCACCCCGCCTGATGCCGCTTACCCATTACGACGCTGTGACGGTACGCCTCTCGCAGGCCCTGACAGCACAAACAACGACCAAATCTGAGCTCTCCTATCCTCGAACCTCAACCTTCCTCCAAGACCCGCTCTCCTCATGACAGCGGCACGGCTTCTCTCAAACGTCCCGGGCCGGCGCCAACCGCATCACCGCCCCCGCCCTGCCGCCGCGGCCCGTCAGCTGAGCTCCAGCGAAGGGCAGAAAGATCCCCCCCAGAATAAGCACCACGACAAGCGAAGCCACTCGTGAACGCACCCAAGGAAGGAATCGAACAGGGTAGGACTGCTCAGTCAACGGCCAGGGCCGTGTAGTCAACACCCGTTGTCGGGGCCTGGGGGCCACCACCTCCCTCGATCCAGAGGCGGGAGATCGAGACGAACCTCCTCCCGACACCCCTTTCGGCAGCGGCGGCACCAATAGCGAAGGCCTCCTCCCAAGGGGCCCCTGGGCCGGGATCGGTCACACTCGGGGTGCGCTGTGACAGGTAGCTCGGGGCGGATCTGGCCGAGGCCGCGAGGGAACCCACGGAGGCCCAGAGACGAGCCGGGCCTGTCCTCGAGCCTCGAAGCCCCGCCGCCCAGCCGCGATGGCAGCGGCGGCACCTGCCGCCCAGGGGGAGCGCCAGCGGGGGACCGGCTCGGGGGGGGGGCGGGAGGAGGAGGAGGAGGAGGAGGAGGAAGGAGGAGGAGAGGAGGTTGAAGGATGATGCAGGCGAGAGGCGCAGGAGGGACGGAGGAAGGAGGAGAGGAGAGGAGGAGGAGGAGGGGAGAGCCTCGCACCAGGCGCGGGGACGGATCGCTGCTGGGCCCCCCGACTGCGACTCCAGAGGCTCCAGGGGCTGGCTGGGCTGCCCGGCCCGGATCCAGTGGGCGATTGGGGGTCGAGCGCCCTCGCCCCCTGGACCTGTACCCCCCCTAGGGGGCCACATGCGACCCCTGCCCCTACCTTCCAACACGAGTAACAGGCAGCTGCGGGGGAGGGTGGGGCTCACTTCGCTCTGAAGCTACCCGAGCGAAGTGAACCCCACCCACCCCCTCAGAAGTCGTGGGGGGTAGGGGTAGGGTTCGCGAGCGAAGTGAACCCCACCCTCCCCCTCAGAAATCGTGGGGGGTAGGGGTAGGGTTCGCATGTGGCCCCCTACCCCCCCCCCCGTCGCTGCCCCTGCGCCGCGAGGGCGCCTGCCCGGCGTCCCAGGCGGGCGCCGGCCGCTTCACCGCGCCCGCGCTCTTGGGCAGCGGCGCCGCCGGAGCCTCGTGAGGGGCCTCCGCGCGAGGCGGCGGTGGCGCCAGCCACAGCTCCAACGGCGAAAGCGGCAGCGGCTGCGGCGACGGCGGCGGCGGCGACGACGACGACGACCTCGATCCTCGATGCTCGTCGATCGAGGATGGACGGCAGCGACGACGACGAATCCGACGGCGACGCCGACGCCGACGCCGACGCCGACGCCGACGACGACGACGACGACGACGCCGACGACGACGACGAGGACGAGGACGAGGACGACAGCGACAACGATGACGAGGACGAGAACGACAACGCCGACTCCGACGCATACGACGTCGACGACGACGACGAGGAAGACGCAACGAGGACGAGGACGAGGACGAGGAAGACGAGGGCGACGACGAGGGCGACGACGACGACGACGACAGAGACGACGACGACAGAGACGACGACGACGATAGAGACGACGACAGAGACGACGACGACGACGACGACGACGACCACAACGAGGACGAGAACGAGGACGGAAACGACGACGCTGTAAACGCTGGCAGTAATGGTAGACGTCGTCGTCGCCGACGTCGATGAAAAAAGGGATGGGGATGCAAGGGGGATGTCGGACCACGAGGAGGGGGGACGACGAGGAGGCCAGCCTCCACCACCCGCTGTCCTCACCAATACCTCTTCCCCGTCGCATCCCTTAACGTGTTCCTAGGGCGGGCCGGGCGTTTCGCCGTACACTTCCTGGCCACCATCTATGATCCAAGCTTGAAGTCTGCAGCGGTTTCAGAAATGCGGTGGTCAACTGTGGCTCCTGCCTGGGCACGGCTCGCATTCGCCTTCAAACATTGCAGCAGCTTCGAACACGAAGGACGGCTCCTTTTCGAAACGTGGTCCTCGCCCCGACGCTGCGCACTTTCGTTTCCAAATCCTGCGCCCGCTACAAGTGGAGAACAAGCCCGTGTCAACATCACCTGGCTCTCGCGCATGCGCCGCACATGCTCGTCCGAGAGACAGCCCGGGGGCAGGTCCGCACCGACAGTGCTTCGGACCTGGTACGGCGCTGGGCCGAGCGGCGGCCAGCTCGGGGAGGCGGACCAGCTGGTCCATCGCCGCTAGCGCCTGCAGTGCTGAGAACACTGGCCAGGCCCCTGCCGCGGCCACCGCGCGGCACTTCACCTGCCGAAAAAACTCAGTCGCGCTGCCCCCGCAGTCACGGCTGCACCCGCCAGGGTGGCCGGCGGGCACAAACTGGACCGACGCGCTGCCCCCGCGGGGGGAAGGGATGGAGGGCGGTCGCGAACGCTGCGGCGACCACCGTGGGGTCGCCGCGCTGTCCTGCCACGCCAGCACAGGATGGCACGTCTGCGCGCAACGCCGCGGCGTTGCGTCGGGCCGGCGACTGGCGCGCGCGGCACCCCTTCGCGGCATCGGCGCCGCAAGCAACCAAGCAGGACAGCAAATGCGTTCAGCGATACACAGTCCAAAACGCCAGCGTCGCAAACTCCCCCCCCCCTCCCCGGGCGCGCTCTCTCTCGCGGCACGAGCGTCCCGCGCGCCCGCCCAGAGAGATCACCCGGGGCAGGCCCGCGGCGACGCTGGCTCGGACCTGACACGGCGCTGCGCCGAGCGGCGGGCAGCTCGGCAAGATGGAGCAGCTGGTCCAACGCCGCAGGCACACACCCAGTGCTGCGCGTGCGCGGTGACCAGCCCCGACGCTCACTCGGCACTGGGCGCCGACGCCGCCGCAGTCGCTGCAACATGGGCTCGAGCGGCTGACGCGCAGCGCCTGGCCTGTCTCGGGGCTGCCCCCGCGCGGGGCCCCTGGCCCAACGGGGCGTTCTCTGGCGCGTCCTGGGCGCGCCAGATGGCGGACTCGGCCGCCAGCAGAGGCGCTGTCGCCTCGGCCGCCGCGCGCCTTGTCGCACCGGCCCCGCGGGCGCATCGCCGCGGCTGCGCGAAGGGCGCGCGAGCGCCCGGAGGCCGCCGTCGCGCGCCCCCAACCCCCCCCGGCATCTGGAACGAAGCAGGCGCGCCGCCCCTGCTTCGTGCCTCGCAGAGCAGCGGCGCGCCCCGCAAAAAGGCTGCCCGCGGGCGGGCCTCGCCGGCTCCGCCGCGCAAGGAGCAGCCGCCAACCCCGCTCCGAGTGCTCGAGGACAGTTCGGCGGCGAAGGGGCGCCAAGCTCGAGGATGCCCTCGCGTGAGAGCGCTCGGGCCAGGCGCGGCCCTGGGCGGAGGCGCCGTCGCATTGCGCAGGCGCCGCAGATGCCTGCGCCGTCGCAGTGCGCGCGCGCAGTTGCGCCACACCGGCGCGCTCTCCTGCGCGCGGGCCCCCTCGAGACCCACCCGCCGCTCGCGGGCGCGCAGTCCGCCGAATCGGAGCTCGCGCGCCTTAACCCCGGGCGGAACCGAATGCAAACCCGAGGCGACATCCGACTGCTGCGGCGAGTCTAAATCGACCGCCTCGGAGCCGAACGGCGAACAGAGAAACCGGCGCACAATTAGGCAATCCGCCACATCGGGTCTGTCTGCTTAGGCGCGCGCGCGCTGGCCCGCCTCTTCGTGCGATCGCGTCGCCATGTCGCGCGCATTCACGGCTGTCGCCCTTGCCTTCGAGCGATCGCCGGCTGGGCCCTCCGCCCGCGGCGCCCCCTTTCTGAAGGATTGCGCGACACGCGCGCGCGCGCGCGCGACCGCAATCTCGCGCATTCCGCGCGCCCGCGATCTGCGCGCGGGCGGGCCCCAGGCGCCCCGCGTTGTCAGCCCGCCGAAGACGCAATGGCCGATGTAGCGGGCCAACGCCCCGGCGCGGCGACTCGTCGGCGAGCCAGGGGGGGAAGCGAGGATGGGCGGGCCTTCTGAGAAAGCTCGGAAGTCCCCTGGCCTTCAGAGAAGTTCCTAAACCTTCCCCCGAGAACATAAACCTCTCGAAAGGCTGGGGGCCCACTGAAACGTTTTGCCGCCTTCTGAAAAGGCCTTCTCTAAAGGAAGAAAACAACTGCACGGGCATGAACTTTTGGAGGTCCGCGCGGATATCCTGGATGTGGGCTGAAATCCGAGCGCGCCAGGGGCGGCGCCGGAAGCGCCGCCGGGGGGGGGGGGGGCCCAGCGCGGATCCAAGAATCTGTGCGGAGCGCCACAAGCTGATGTTCATGGCGTGTTGTCTTCTTCGAGAGAAGGCCTTCTTCTTTTCATTCCCCCCCCTCGCTCGCCGCTGGTCGACGCAAAACCATCGTGAGGCCGCGGGCCACAGGGAGCGCGGCGGCTGCGGCTCGATCTCCCCCTCGGCACCCGCCCGCGCGCGCGGATATTTCTTCCGCGCCCCACATGCCTTGGAGACCGCGAGCGTTCGATCAGGGGCCGACCGCCCGGGCATTCGCATGGGCCTACCACGACCTGCTCTGAGAACCAAGAAATGCTCTCAGAACAAAAACAGCGTTCTTGGAACATAAACCCGATGGGTTGAAACAAGATGGCCCCAGCCAGACACGCTCCAACAACATTACAAGCAGACCACAGGTTCTCAGAACATGGTGTGGTGGACCCACCGGCGAGCCAAGACGATTCGGCACTGCTCGAAACGCATGAATCTGCCGCACGCGCGCCTCGCGCAATCCCACGGCGGCCCCCCTGTCGGCGGCGACGCTGGGGGCGAATCGCCCAGGGGCGGGCACGGCACGCATTCGCCCGGGAGCCTTTTCGAAGGCATAGATCATCGGCGCACCTGGATGCGCGTGTTGCTCTCCCCTGGGCAGCTCGCCCCAATCGTCGCCCCTGGTCTCCCCTACAGGGGGATTTTCGACGAAAAATGAAACATACCCCCCAAAAAAAATCACCCAAAATGTAAAACAATACTCAAAAACTAGTCCCCCGACTTCTTTTTGGACTATTATTATTTTTTTGTTTTTACTACTTGGGGGGGTATTGTTTATTTTCCTAGAAAATCCCCCTGCAGGGGGGCCACGCCCGACTTCAGTCTGCAGCCCTCCTCCTCAAAGCATCGTCCCCCGACATTTTCTGACTTTTAAAAAAAATATGCTTGTGTTTTGGGGGGTATGTTTTTTCTCGTCGAGAGTCCCCCTGTAAAGGGGGGGGGGCGCGCCCGACTTGAAAGTCTGCAGCCCTCCTTCCGGGGGATTGCCGCCCTGCGCGCGCGCGGGGCCCCGCCGCCGAGGGCCTCGCGCCCCCCCCCCCTCGGCGGCCCGGAGGCGCAGCCCGGCGCCCCGTGGCCCGGCACGTCTTGGCATCGCTCGGGCGCGTGCGCCTTATCTCTCGGCGAGGACCCGCGAGGATTCAGTCGGGCCTGTCCCCCTCCCAGGGGGATCTTCGGCGGAAAAAAAAAACCCGAAACA